GACATCATTGAGCATATATATAGGTGGCCCTCGGCCCTGCTGGAGAACAATTTTTCATCCTTCTCTCCTCATTCTTTTATCAAATAAATCAGTGTTAAAGGAAAGAAAGAAGTGACATGCATGAGTACCTGTATGTGCCACACTGAATTCTCACATACTGAATTTTGTTTGGAGTGCTGAGTGTGTTCTCTGTGCAAATACGGCCCTTTACAAATTTAGTCAGAAATCATCATTGTTAGGCCAAAATCCTGCCATCAGGGAGGGAAGAGGGCTGCCCGCCTCATCCAGTCTGTTCTTTTTTTTTTTTTTTTAAAGATTTTACTTATTTTATTTTTTCCCCCCAAAGCCCCAGTGGATAGTTGTATGTCGTAGCTGCACATCCTTCTAGTTGCTGCATGTGGGACTCGGCCTCAGGATGAACGGAGAAATGGTGCCTCGATGCGCACCCGGGATCCGAACCCGGGCCACCAGCATCGCAGCGCGCGCACTTAACCACCAAGCCACAGGGCCGTGCACAGCAGAATTGCTACCGTCTCATCAGACGTGCTGTTGAACCTGCTGCTCCCTCCACTTGGAGCTCTCTTGCTCCGTCTCTCTGCGTGGCTCACTCCTGCTCCTCACCGTGGTCTTGGCTGTGAGTCACCTTCTCAGTGAGGAACGCAGACCCCCACCCCTGCATCCCACTCCCCTCCTCCTTCTCCACAGTACTAGTTGGGACAGGCTGGGGATTGCTACCCTTACCAACTGCTCTGGGTGATTTTGCACCCACAGGATACGTCTAGCCTGAATCAACAGGGCCTCTGCTCCACACAGTGTCTCGGGGCCTGAAAAGGGGGTGTGTGAACCCCACCAGGCTCTTCAGGCACCCTTCCAGGAATGACATACACCACTCTGGTCATATTTCATTTTATCACAAATGAGGTGGCCACATACAGCCCCCTAGGGGGAGTAGGGGTGCGATTCTACCATCTGCCCACAGGAAGGGGAGCTGCAGTATTTGGTGAATAGCACCAATGACCACCATGATCTGTCAAATATTTTGTCGGTCTTCCCCTCATCAGGGAAGATACACTCCTCCCTTCTTCAGTTGAGGCAACTCAAGATATCAACCCAGCTCCAGCCCCAAGGTCAAGGTTGAATGTACCTGTGCAGTCTCCACATCAAGTTTCTTGGCCCACCAACCTCTAAACTAAAAAGAAAATATATCTAACCCACACCCACATATGCAGTATGTATTCAAGGATGGAGAAGGCAGGATAATCACAATCAACCCACTGGTGCAGCAATTCTGAGACTCCACAGGGCAGATCCTGAGTGGGCTCTGTTCTCTGGGAAGAGAGGGTCTTCTGTGATTAAGCTCTAATTCTGCTCCCAGGGTAGGGCTCCTGAGGACTCTCCTCCCTGGCTCTTGACTCCAGTGTCTGGGAGTTTCTTCCTTTTCCATAAACTGTTTTGGCCACAGGAAAGTGAGCATTGGAGAGTAAGCCTCCTTTGGGGTCCAATCAGTTTTTCCAGGCCTCAATCTGCCCATTATAGATAGGAATGCAAAAGTCCATCTAGGCTTCAAATGGTCGTAGACTTTTCTTTCTGACTTAAAACCTGGCCAGCTCTTTCCCTATTGGTCCAGTTTCACGTGTACATAGCCACATTCATGGATCTTTTGTCAACACACCATGTGCCTTTGCTTTTGCATGCCACTGCTTCTCCCCACCCCTCCTTTCACTCTCACTCACTCCTTTTCTCTTAAATTAAGTACAGGTACCTTGGCCCTCTCAGCCTTCAGTGGAAGACTCATACTTTAGGCTCTTATCCTGGAGCCATATTTGCACAATTAAAGATTTTAATCTTTAATTAAAATCTGGTGACAACTTAATCCATTTAGAGGTTTTTAGCCATAGGTCTGATTATTTCTGCAAAGCTGAGTTTCAATAGGCTTTTAACATTCAAAGCGTTTCTCAATTTTACGGTTTACTGATGGGGATGAGAAGCGTTTGCCTCCTCCAACCCCACAAGACACTGCTTCTGCTGTATCTTTCTTTTCTCTTATAATTGCTTTCAAACTGGCCAATTATCTTCTGAGATAATTTCTTTCTTGTGTTAACTTACCAGCACAGTCAACGCAGTGACCTCTGCCCACTCATTAGACATGCTCTGCCTTCCACAGGTGTCAATTTTGGCAAACATTTCACCCAGGCGTGACATGAGCCACCTTGCCTCCAGCCTCCAGTCCCACATTCTTGACTCCTAAGCCAATACACCTGTGTTTTTTTTTTTATTTTTTGGTAAGGAAGATCAGCCCTGAGCTAATATCCGTGCCAATCCTCCTCTTTTTGCTGAGGAAGACCGGCCCTGAGCTAACATCTATTGCCAATCCTCCTCCTTTTTTTTCCCCTTTTCTCCCCCATGACCCAGTAGATAGTTGTACGTCATAGTTGCACATCCCTCTAGTTGCTGTATGTGGGATGCCGCCTCAGCAAGGCCGGACAAGCGGTGCGTCAGTGCGTGCCCAGGATCCGAACCCAGGCCGCCAGGAGCAGAGTGCAGGCACTTAACCGCTAAGCCACGGGGCCGGCCCCCCAACACACCTGTTTTAGTTTGGTTTTAGCACTCTTCTTTTCTCTTTTGGTTTTAGCACATTGATTTCTCGTTTCTTTTATTTTTTTATTGAGATATAATTGACATATAACATTATATAAGTTTCAAGTGTACAACATGATGATTTGACAAAATGTATATATTGTGAAATGATCACCAAAATAAGTCTAGTTAACATCCATCACCTCACATAGTTACGAATTTTTTTTCCTGTGATGAGATCTCCTCTCTTAGCAACGTTCAAACACAGCAGTGTTAACTATAGTTACCGTGCTGTACATTACATCCCCAGGACTTGTTCATCTGATAACTGGAAGTTTGTAGTTTTTTACCCCCTTCACCCATTTTCCCCACCTCCACTCCCTGCCTCTGGCAACCATAAATCTGTTCTCTATATCTATGAGTTCAGGTTTTTTTAGATTCCACATATAAGTGAGGTCATACAGTACTTGTCTTTCTCTGTCTGATTTATTTCACTTGCTTCAGCACTCTTTGAAACTCATTTTTATATCTGTCAGTATGTGCTAGGTTATAAGAGGAGGAATAACACACACATCCACCTACACACACAAACTTCTGACACTTTCTCTCTGTGGTCTGGGTTTAGAGTCTGTCAGTGAGAGACATGCATACAAGTTCTGGAAGGTGGTAAAGAGGCAGAGGCTATGATTCCCCAGAGGTGTGTTGAGACAGACACATGGACAGAGGGAGGACATGAGTGGGACTCTGCATGCTGAGATTTCACACAGCTCTGGAAGCTCCGACGGTACTTGCCCCCAGCTGCTGCCTCCCTGGCATTTTCACCCCCTGCTGCCCAAGTGCTTGTGCAAGACTCACATTCCCTATACATAAGAATTCTCCCTGTGTTGAATGCCTGGGTTCCTGTTGTCTTTTCTAGCTAGAATCCTAGCTGCCACACTGACCTTACTGTTCTGCTTGGTATGTGTGACCATCAGTCATGCTTTATTTTGTCACCTTAATTCTTGTTTAAGCCTGCCTCCCCTGACTACAATATAAGCTCCATGGGGGATGGGAGCTTATATTGGCGCAGGTGGCACAGTGCCGGGTCTTCGATGGTTTGCAGGACTTGGCACAGTCCAGCAAAGAGATGACGAATGAATGGATTAATTAATAAATGGCAGAATCTGGTCAGTTGAATGACTGATCGCAGGACAGTTCTTTAACTGGAAAATCAATGGAAAGGATAAATATAGGATTTGTTGAGAATTACTGAACTCACGTTCTGCAAAAGTAATACATTTATAATATCTAATACATAAAGGAAACTATGAAAGACATAAAAATCTCTAACAATCAGCCTCTAGATCCTCCTTACTAAGAACCTGATGATAATCCTTTAAACTGTGATTAGGGAAAGGGCCTCTGAGGTGGTCCAGTCTCGAGACATTTCTTTGGGTGTAATGGTGATAACAGTCCCATCCTGATATCTGATGATCACAGAAAGTCTTACTCTGTGCTGTGAACACTGGAATGGCTTCCAATGCTGAGCCTTTGCCTCTGTAATTTGTACCCCGTCAGCTTTCTTTTTGGAATCAGCCTTTAGAGTGGGTGGCTATCAGTTCTATAGTTCTGTGTTGCTGCTTTTTTCTTACTTTTCTTTTTGATTTGGGTTGTGTTGTTTGAGAACACTCTTGAGTGAAAATGGTAATAGTTATTATATAAGCTAATACTGGGCCGGCCCCGTGGCTTAGCGGTTAAGTGCGCGTGCTCTGCTGCTGGCGGCCCGGGTTCAGATCCCAGGTGCCCACCCGACGCACCGCTTCTCCGGCCATGCTGAGGCCGTGTCCCACATACAGCAACTAGAAGGATGTGCAGGTATGACATACAACTATCTACTGGGGCTTTGGGGGAAAAATAAATAAATAAAATTAAAAAAAAATAAAATAAAATTATAAGCTAATACTTATGGATCACTTGTTCTATGTCAGGCACTAAGAGTTTCTCATTTAATCATTTCTTTTCCTCTTCATGACCCTTTAGGAGGTGAGCACTACTCCTCTCCATTTTACAGATCAGAGAATGGAGGCTCCTGTAGGTCATGCCACCTGTCAAAGCTTAGACTTTTGAGCACGAGGTCTGCGTCCATGCTCTGAATCATATTCTGTCAACTCTTGGTCCCCATCACACTCTGTGTGCTTATTACAATTTAAAGGTTACAGAGCATTTTCACATACGTTAGCACACTGTTGACTAATAATATTGGTTATCATTTGTTGAATGTTTACCATGTTGAGCCGGGCACTGTATTCAGCACTCACAGAAAGGGAATTGGAGAGGTGAGGATGTACACATGGAGGAAAACCAAAGTTTTGACAAAGAAAATGAAGCGTACAGAAAATTTACTAATAAAACTGCCTTGCCTCTCTCCTTTTGCTTTGTTTCAGGAATACCAAATTGATATATTTTTTGCTCAGACCTGGACAGACAGTCGCCTTCGATTCAACAGCACAATGAAAATACTTACTCTGAACAGCAACATGGTAGGGTTAATATGGATTCCAGATACAATCTTCCGCAATTCTAAAACTGCAGAGGCTCACTGGATTACCACCCCCAATCAGCTCCTCCGAATTTGGAATGATGGGAAAATCCTTTACACCTTAAGGTAAGATGCTGGTAGATCTTTAATCACTGATGGTCTGATTTTGCGTCCTTAATTTAGATCATCGTAGGGATGGAACCCTATTTTCATTGCTAAGTTCTGTGGCTTCTCATGTTTGACATGCTACCGCATGATGCCTGAAAAAGTTCATCCTCATGCCACGTGTGTAAGAATAAAGGCATATAAACTATCTGCAATGAATGTCAACTCATTCTTTAATCAGAGTCCATTTCTGCTGGAAGTGGGCTGTGGAAATTATCTTTAATATATTTGACCCACGGGTCCACCCAGCTAGGCAAATAAAGATGTCTTGGCATACTAATTGACAAATGTAATTATAGCCAAATTTGAGACCACAAGGGAAAAAAGAGCACAGAGGGCATCTCTGATGCATCCCTAATGGAAGTGGCAGCTACTGTGTGATGAGACCTCCTGGGGGCTGGGCAGTGCTCACAGAAGCCCGGCAAGGTAAGAGAAACTGCGCTCCAAAGAAGTGAACCAGTGAAGCGACCTACCCAAAGACTCCAATGGGAAGTAGTGTTACCAGAGTTTGAACCTGGGTCTGGGTCTCTCAAAAATCTCTCCGCTGGGGTGGTCTGAGTGTTCTCGAACACACGGCTGCAACATACCACAGCAATGCCCCGTGCCTCAGCCAGTCTTTCTGCTCGTCTAGCATTAGGGTTGGGACCTGAACACTGGCCTTTCCATCATCCGTGACCTCTCAGGAGCGCTGGATGCACCTGCCCTTTTCCGATAGACTCTCTCTCTCACTGGCTTTGCGGCACTGCAGCTCTTTTCTGTGCCTCCTGCCCTGCTCCTCACGCTGCCTCTCCTCGTCTGCTCCTTCTGCCTCAGGACTTCCCTATCACTCTACTCGCTTTCTACTTTCCTGCTGGCTTAGGTCATTCATTCCCACCACTTTAAAAGGCGTATCTGTGCTGAGGATTCCCACATGCCTATTTCCAACCCAGAACTTCCCTTCTGGACTCCAGATTCTTGGAGCCACCTGCCTGTGTGATATCTCCTCCTCAAAGTCTAAAAGGCATTCCAAATTCAGCATGCCTCAGGGGAAGGTGATTTCTCTAATTCCTCTGACCCATGTCCCTGCATCCTCCGGCTCAGTGAACGCCACCACTAGCCCCTGAGCACTCCTCCTCCACCCCCTACATCCATCATGAACTTCTAATTGCAAATGATTTGTGGCCATAAGGAGAAATCTGTAATTCATGTGGTGAACAGGAATTCATAGCACAAGTCACAGGCTAGCATCAAAATAAGCAGAAGATTAAAGAATCTTAAAGTTTCAGGAAAATTATAACTTTGACAGGCTGGGAACAACAATAGAAAAGCCACAGCAGGGAACTCTGCTGACAAATTGTAGTTAGAGAGTTGGAGTTTGTAATAGCTATTTCCTCATCAATCTTAAAGGAATATGAATGAGACTCTGAAGTGATGGTGAGCCTCAACAGACCAGAATAGAGACATGGCCGGGCCTGGGATCCTTTACAGAAACCATCTGACCCCAGGGCTGTCTGCTCCGGAAAGATGCAGTGCACACATTTAGTACAGCCACCACCTGCCTGGTCAAAATGGGAGACTTGTCCAAATTTGAAATCCCACCTACAAGTGGATTAATTTGACGTTATACCTATTTAGACAAATACACCAGTTTCAAAATGGAGGAAAGATTTATTTCAGTCAAAAAGATGGAAAACAAGGATATGTAAAACAACAGTTGTTTTTATTTGTCTCCTCTCTGACTTGGCTTGTATTTCTAGACAGTTTGGAATTTTACTAACTGAAATTCTCTCTGCTAATGGTAGTTAAAAGCAAAACAAAATAACACAACACAAAAGCAACAAATGGTGTCACTGAATGGATGGTGCCACTGCCAGGAGTGAGTTACATGTGCTATCCTCATGGTCACCCCCCTACTGCCAACCACGTTGTGGTAACATGGCCGCCCCCTGGCCTTGCCAGGGGACTTCACTGGGTTGTTCCTGGCTGACCTCAAGAGTGACGCTTGGCTCTCCCGCAGGCTCACCATAAACGCAGAGTGCCAGCTGCAGCTGCACAACTTCCCCATGGATGAGCACTCCTGCCCACTGATTTTCTCCAGCTGTGAGTACCAGCGGGGGTATGAATATTGTGTAAAGGGTTGTCTAGCCTGTGCTGACTTCTGTCAAAGGGCCAGTCGTGTGATTGATTATAGCATCTCTGCACAACCAGAGAAAACGGATAACGGTTTTAATATTGGACACCTGGGCTTTTTCACGCTAGACTTTATTACATAAGACCCGTGTTACTGAATAGGTAGCTTTGATAAAGCTGGGAACAACTCAACCATTCCTTATAATACTGAAGGATTCAAAAATTGATGGACAGTTGACTTACCAAAGACTCTCATGCTAATGAGCTGTGCATATTATTTGGAAATATACATAATTCATTTGCGATATTTTTGCAAGGTGATTTGTCTTCTAAATAGAAAGATAAAAATTTTTATTTAAATATATCTGTATTCGTCTCATTGCACTATAGTAGGATGTAATTTTTCACAATAGTTTATCTTCTAATATTTTACTTAGGATTGATAATATAGCTAACAAGTAATCATTTACAAATTCTTAAAGACAACAATTAATGCTAAGTACAACTACATATACGTGAAAGGAAATAGCAAATTTACTTGCTTATTTATGAAGTAAAGTTTCTAAGTAAAGGTCGATATGGAAATATGGCTGTAGAATTTATGTTGGTTCATTTTAAAGGTATTGCTCACAGTACTTAAGTATGACTCATAAGAATTCAATTAACTTTACTGGTTTTCTTTAAAATTGTGTATGGGGCATGACCAACAAATGTGATGAAATTTCAAGCAGAAGGTTTTGTGGCTTTCTTTACTGGATATTATAGTTAGAAGACAAAAAATGAAATAAGGGATGAACACACTTTATAGTTCATTTTAGGTTCAGAAAATGTCAAGCTAGAAAGCAAAATTTCACTGATCTCCTAGATTGAGTAGAAATATTCTTATGTAGAGATTAGTTTAGTTGAATCCAAACTTAGTACATGCCAAGAAACTATTACATTTTTAAAGCCTAGAAAGTAGATAGCTAATGTCTATGAATGTCTGGTAAACTTGTCTGTAGATTCATTTGGGCCTGGCCTGCTGTTCTTTATTTATTTAATTACTTTGAAAGTTAGAAAACCATTCAAATTGTCTGGTTCTTTGTAAATCAGTTTGGTATATATATGTCTACTTTTTCATAGTGATTTGTCCATTTCACTGTTTATTAGTCTTCCCAGTGAACCCACTTTGGCTATGTTGATCCTTCCAATGGTCTGATATGCTGTTAACTCATCCATTGTGTTTATAATTTCATTGGTTATTTCTCATTATTCGACATTATATTCTGTTGCTTTTTAAAAATTTCTTACACAATTTTGATAGCCTGTTGTTTCTTCACCAAATTTTCAATGTCATCTTCTATTTATTTAAGTTTCCTGAACATTCTGATATCTCACTGGGAGTGATTTGCAGAATTTGTTTTATTTTACTCCATCTATTTACTTTACTCCATTTATTTACTTTTCTGTTCAGTAAGCCATATGTTTGGCCATGAAACAAGTCAATAAATTTAAAAGGATTGAAATAAGATTTCAGAATACAAAATCAATATACAAAAGTCATTTGTATTTCTATACACTGGAAATGAAAAATCTGAAAATTAAATTTAAAAAGCAATTGCATTTATAATAGTATCAAAAAGAATATAATACTTAAGAATGAATTTAACTAAAGAAGTGCAAGACCTGCACACTGAAAACTATAAAAACATTATCAAAATGAATGAGAGAAGACCTAAACAAATAGACGGGCATCTTGTATTCATGAACTGAAAAACTTAATATTGTTAAGATGGCAACACTCTCTAAAGTGATATACAGATTCAATGCAATCCCTATCAAAACCTCAGCTGGCCTTTTTTTCCAGAAATTGACAAGCCGATCCTAAAATTTATATGGAAATTCAAAAAATCCAGAATAGCTACAAGAATCTTGATAGAAGAAGAAATTTAGTGAGCTCACACTTCTGATTCAAAATGTACTACCAAGCTACAATAATCAAGACAGGGTGGTGTGGTGCTGCTGTAAAGATAAACATATAGATTGGTGAGATAGAATTGAAGGTCCAAAAACAAACCCATACATTTATAGTCAATGGATTTTTGACAAGGGTTCCAAAATAATTCAGGTGGAAAGAATAGTCTTTTCAACAAATAGTGCTGAGACAATAGAATGTCCATGTGCAAAAGAATGAAGTTAGACTTCTGTATTACACGCTATAGAAAATTAACTGAAAATGGATGAAAGACATATATGTAAGGGCTAAACTATAAAACTTTTTAAAGATAGTATGTGTACCTTTTTGTGACCTTGGTTTAGTTCACAGTTTCTTAGCTATTACAGCAAAAGCACAAGCACTACAATAAAAAAAAATAAACTGGATGTCATCAAAATGAGAAACTTTTATACTTCAAAGGACACCAATAAGAGAGTGAAAGACAACTCCTAGAATGGGAGAAAATGCAAATCATATTCGCATGAGGATCTAGTATCCAGAATATATAAATAATTCTTACAAATCAACAACAAAAAGACAACACAATTTTAAAAACAAAGGACATTTCTCCAAAGAAGATATACAAATGACCGAGAAGCACATGAAAAATTCTCAACATAATTAGCCATTAGAGAAATGCAAATCAAAATCACAATTAGATACCATTTCACACTCACTAGAATGGCTATATTTAAAAAAAAATAAAACAGGCAATAAGAAGTGTTGGCAAGGACGTAGAGAAATTGGAACCCTCCTACATTGCTGGTGGGAATGTAAAATGGTGCAGCTGGTATGGAAAACAATTAGACAGTTCCTCAAAAAGTTAAATATAAAGTTTCCATATGACCCAGCAGTTCTGTTCCTAGATATATACCCAAGAAAATTGAAATCATTAGTATATGATTGTTCATAGCAGCATTATTTATAGTAGCCAAAAAGTAGAAATAGCCCAAATGATGAATAGATAAACTAAATCTGGTATAGCCATACAACAGAGTATCATTTTGCCTTAAGTAATGAGGACAAGAGACAAATCTCCCATGCAGAAGAATTTCAAATAACTTATGTAGATACTCCTCCCTCAAGGAGGAGGAGCATAACTCCCCACCCCTTGAGTCAAGGCTGAGCATAGTGTCTTCCTTCCAAAAAGTATATTATGGAAAGAGGGAAAAAAGAGCTACTTTATAGTGAAGAAACCTGACAAACACCACTTCTGCCAGGTGAGCAAGGTCAACATCAGCAGTGATACGTCATGTTGATAGTATGTAATCTTGGGATGATGTGATGAGAATGGCGCTTGACCTCTGTGGTCTCCCTTCTAAAAACCCATAACTCCCATATAACCATAAAAAAAACATCAGACACCAGGTACATTCTACAAAAACCTGACCAGTACTCTTCAGAACTATCAATGCCATCAAGAACAAGGAATGTCTGTGAAATCGTCATAGCCAATGTGGCATCCTGGATAGCATCCTGGAACAGAAAAAAGAGCATTAAAACTGATGAAATCTAAAAAAAGAAGTATGAATACTAGTTAATAATAATGTATCAATATGTTGGTTCATTAATTGTGACAAATGTGTCATATTAATGTAAGGTATTAATAATAGAGTGAAGCTGGGTGTGGTGTATTGGGAACTCCCTGTAGAATCTTTACAATTTTTCTGTAAACCTAAATTTATTCTAAATTTAAAACTTTGTTTTTAAAAAGATAGAAGTATGAGTAGTTGCATTAAGCTGGTATTTTAGTCCCAGTCACATACAAAATTGGCCCAAGATGCTGATAAATAAATATATTGAGAGTTTAAGTGAAATAATCAGGTGAAAATGTCAGATCAAGAAACCCATGCCTCTTCATTCAATTCAGGTAAATAAATCTCTAAGTTATTATGTGGAAATTTCTGGAGACCCTGGGCCAGAAGATCCAGCTTAGAGGTCTCGGTGATAGATAATCTTGTGCAATGGTTCTTACGTATGTTGGGCTCACATGCCACTTTGAATGTTTGAGCAAAGCTATGGTCCCTCATTCACACACTTCTGCACTTTCACCTGGTATTTTGCATCTATCAGCTACATGACCTGTAGCCCAGAGTTTAAAAACTCCTCATCTAGTCTATCTCAGTCATTTTGTAGATGAGGAAACAGAAACAGATGCTGTCACTCTAGGATCTTCTGACTTCTAGAAAGTGCTTCTTCCATTGGATCAAGCCAGCTACTGTTGACTGCCTCAAAAATATGTCCCTGAACTTGTTCACTGCTTACTGTTTCCACCTGTTGGGATTTCCTGCTCCCACTCTTATCATTTCAAGTCCATTATATACATATATCCTAGCATTGGCATACTAAAATATATTATATATCTGTCTAAGTCAATCCTGTGCCTATAATCATTCATAAATTCTTTCCCCTGGCGATTAGCATAACCTTGAATGTTTCACCATAGCCTACAAGACCCCTTCCTCCCTCTCCAACTTCATCTGTTTCCACTCTCTGTCTTGAAAGTACATGCCTTACTATTTCTTTTGTGGGTGTTTTTCTCTTTTTCACTCAAAATATAGCTCTACACAACACTAACCTATGTCTTTCATATTTTCATTCTATCACTCCAATTATAAACTAAAGACATCCTCAATAGTTTGTGTATACATCACTTCCAACACAAACAGCTATTACTTATGGATTTTACTCACAGAATTTTAAATGCGTATATCCTACTAAAAATAGTTTATGCTACAGTTTTTAGTTATATGATTTAATGATATTCCAGAAGCAGAATAACACATATGAAAGGAGTAAAACATAGTCACTGTGAGTGGAGCGCAGGAATCTAGAGAGGGTTATACTCATCACCACCATGGTATCATCCTCCATGTTCTTCTATGGGCACTTGACGAGAAGGAACTTCTGCCAGCTCCTCCAGCACACCATGAGCCCCTCACCAGCAGAGCAGCTGTGTGCCTGTGAGACATGGCATCTGGTGGCTAACAGCAAT